TTGTTCAACTGACTCTGCAGCTGCATTACCTGTTGTTGTAGCTGTTGCACCAACAGTGATGTCTCACTCTGAGGCTGTTGTACCTGCTGGTTTCCCCTTGATCTCTCATTTTGTCGACCTTGGCGTCTTGGACGCTGGGCCCTGTTTTGGCTCACTTGCGTCCTTTGGCGAGCTGTTCGTCTCCGTCCACGCACAACATTCGCGTCATCATCTTGGTGATCGGCCTCCTCCTCACCTTCCTCAGGGACAACCTCAACCTGTAACCTGAACCTCTGTCGACGCCTTAACCTTCGTGTGGCGACTGGATCGGTACCATTAGGCGGACTCTCGAGACGGACTACTGACCAAAACTAAGACATAGGGTTGGCTGAAGTACTCAAAATACCCTGTTCCGTTTGTGGTTCACCTTGCCCTTCATTCAAAGTCGTTGTCACATTGGTCGCTGCCACTGTACTGCTTGGAACATCACCTTCCGTGGCTTGGTTCTCAACAGTTTCAGGTTCAATGATGATCCCTCCGCGTCTTTGGGCACCAGATGTGAGCATGCCAGGAATGTCCCCACTAACCATATCTTCACGATGACCATACGGGCCCTCCATTTGCCGCTGAGCATCTCCCATGCTTAGAATCTCATACGTCCCAACACCTCCCGACCCACCTGAAGCATCCAGCTCCTGCTCACCTTCATCTAGTTCTGGTTCATCACAATCACAATCGTCGTCCGACGTGCCCTCCTCCACATCTTCCCCGCCCCCGTTTTCCACCTCCGCACGATCCGCAGTCACATGTGCGCTACCGTTCGCCGTTGCATCGGGCCCATCTGTTACCTGAATGTCTTGCCCTTCCATTTCCCCTCCTTCACTTTCCCCTTCGGAATTATCACGTTCCACGCTCGGACCTTCCTCAATGTCTTCGATTTCAACCACCCACTCAGCAGGTGGGGTTGAACCACGTTCCCTAGCAATGCCTGGAACGTCTCTCTGTCCCCTCTGCTGCTCCCCTCCAGTTTGCACCTCCCTTCCCTGTTCTTGCTCCCCTCCTCTCTGCACCCGCCCCCCCCTCTGTTCCCACCCTCCACTATGGAACTCCCCTCCCCTCTGTTCTCCCCCCCCTCTCTGCACCTCTCCGCCCCTTTGCTACCCCCCTCTTGTCAGCACATCCCCTTCCATCTGCTGGCACCCTCCTATCTGAGCCTCCCCTCCCCTCCGCTGTACCCCTTCTCTCTGCACCTCCCCTTCCCTCTGCTCGCCCCCTACTCTCTGCCCCTCCCCTCTCCTCTGCTGGGTCTCTCCACTCTGCACCTCCCCTCCCCTTACCCTATGGTGCTCCCCTCCCATTTGTTCCTCCCTTCCCCTCTGCTGCTCCCCTCCTCTGTGCTGCTCCCCTCCTCTGTGCTGCTCCCCTCCTCTGTGCTGCTCCCCTCCTCTGTGCTGCTCCCCTCCTCTATGTTGCTCCCCTCCTCTGTGCTGCTCCCCTCCTCTGTCCTGCTCCCCTCCTCTGTGCTCCTCCCCTCTTCTCTGCTGCTCCCCTTCTCTTTGCTGCTGCCCCTCTCTCTGATGCTCCCCTCCCCTTTGTTGTTCTCCTCTTCTCCCCTCCACCCCCCCTCGATGCTGTCCACGTTGACAATCATCCCGCAGCCTGTGTCGACGGCCACATGCAATACACGCTTGATAACTTCCTCCAACACGTGGAACCACACTTGTTTGCAGCGTGATATGATCTTCTACTGACCTATTGGCCCAAAGTGCTCTTGCCTCTTCGCGTTCTTCGCATGTTCGACTGTTGTGCCCCTTAACCTTACACCTACCACATTTTCGCAGTTTTTCAGGGTTGATCTCGCCTCTTGAGCGGATGCGCTTTGTTTTCCTCCGCCCTGGCCTTTTCTTGTACTTCGGAGGGAGCGTAATTCTGTCCGGAATGCACGACGAAGGATCCACCGGAACCAACTCCTCTGAATACATTGCCTTCAGCGTCTCCACCTTGTAGACGCGGTGAACCATGTCAAACGGCAGCCGACCCTCTCCGGAAGCAGCACAGATGTGGACACAGGGAAGCCCGTACTCCCTGTTGTGTTGAAGAGTGTGTGAATGGCATTGTTAATGAACACTATGCATGTGTAGATGCAGCAACTGACATTACCAGATAAAAAACATACACTATGGTGATGAACGTTAGAAGATTAGTGACGGCAATACTTGTGCACATACAATGTGCGTACCTGCTGTAGTTGCACGTGCACGTCTTGGCTTGCAAGTCCACAATTCGCTCTTCATTACGCTCCTCATGCTCGACCAGCCAGCGTGTGTGACGCTTGATTAAGCTGGCGCACAGAGTAGCTAGAAGAATCATTGAAGTTGCCTCGCACAACCTCAGTGGCAGTTGTGCACCACTCCCCCACGGTGTTGGAGTATGCCGTAAGCCGATCACTCCGAATGAGAGCAAGTTTCAGCGCCCAACGCAAAATGACATAGCCAATTGCCTTGTTTCGCAGCTGTGACATTGAGGCATGCTGCGACTCAACAGGATTTGACGTGAGGCAACCAAACCGAGCACCAGGAAACTTTGCAGTTGCCCATCGCGTGGCCAGCTGGCCGTCTTCCCCTTCCAAATATAATCGGCCACCGGGACATTGCTATCAGAATCACTAGGCAAGAATGAATGAACTAAGGGAAGTTTGGGTACAAATATGAAACCCTAGTTGGGGTTGTACCCCATATTGGCTACCCCACTACAGCCTACCAACATATAACACATTACAATTTAACACACCCCCATAGGCAAAGTGGGGGAGAACAAAGGGTCACAAGACCAGTCCAGCAAAGCAAAGCAAAGCCCAGGGTGGATCACAACGTCACCACACTCCGAGCACAAGTAAAGGCCACAAGGCCAGTTCACATGCAGTGCTAGATATAGTACAAGACAAGCAACACAGTGATCAAAACCTAGCAAGTAAGCAACAAGATATATATAAAGTACAGTACAAAGAATGTCAAGCAGTGAGCAAGTGAGGAAACGTGGACACAAGGCCTAAAGAAGTACAGTGCCGCTGATGATCACTAGGCGGGAGCGCCTTGGTGAAGATATCAGCAGTGTTGGCCTTCGAGTCCACGTACACAAGCCGAAGCTGACCGCGCTGCTGAAGCTCTCGAGCAAGAAAGTAGCGAAGAGCAATGTGCTTCGTCCTGTGCTCCAGTCTGTGCTCCTGACACAAGGCAAGAGCCGCCTTGTTGTCACCGTACAGAACTGGAGGAGAACTAGGCCGCTCTCCCAAGTCAGTCAGCAGGTAGGTGAGCCAGCGTAACTCCTGTGCAGCCATGGCTGTGGCGTAGATCTCAGCCTCACAACTAGAGCCGAGAACAGAGGAAGAGCGGGTGGACCGCCACGAGACAGAACCAGAGCCAAGGCTGAAGGTGTAACCCTGTGACGACCGCTGCGTAGCCAGGTCGTCCACCCAAGAGGCGTCCGAGTGACCAGTGAGGACAACTCTGTCGCGTCCTCCAAGCACCAGCCCCATGCCTGATGTACTGCACAGGTAACGCAGCACCCTCTTAGCAGCCTCCCAGTGCTCTTGTCTGTGTCTCCCAGGCGCAACGTAACGAGCAAGGATGCTAAGAGGGTACGCGAGGTCAGGTCGCGTGCAAGTCATCAGGTACATGAGGCAGCCTACAAGCTCTGGGTACGGGCCACTCGGCTCTACGGACTCGTCCGGAGGTGGAGCTGAGAGCGAGTGGCTGGTAGCCAGAGGTGTGGCCTGTGGTGAGGAGAACTGGAAGCCGAAGCGCTGAAGGACCTGCTGCACCATGTGTGACTGAGTCAGGGTGATGGTGCGGCGAGCTCTGTCCCGGGTGATCTGCAAGCCAAGGTAGCTACGCAGCTCACCCAGGTCAGTGCAGGTGTGTCTCTTCTGCAGCTCCGACTTCACACGAGCGAGTGCCTCAGTGTCAGCAGTAGCAAAGACCAAGTCGTCGACGTACACGAGAATGTAGAACGGCGGCAGCGACGTGTCTGTGCGCAGAAACAGTGACGGGTCAGCAGTAGACGGCGCGAACCCAAGAGCCGCAAGTGTAGTCCTCAGTGTGTCGTGCCACTCGCGTGGCGCCTGGCGGAGACCGTAGACTGGCCGGCGGAGGCTCCACTGGGTACCAGGAGGAAACGACCCAGTAAAGCCAGGTGGGCGGCGCAGCCAGATCTCCTCGTGCAGGCTGCCCTGCAGGAACGCTGTGCTGAAGTCAAGAGAGTGAAGCTCGTAGTCACGCTGAGCAGCAACGTGCAGCAGAACCCGAAGAGTGGTCATCTTCGGGGTGGGGGAGAAGGTCTGGAAGAAGTCGACCCCCTGACGCTGACTGAAGCCTCTAGCAACGTAACGAGCCTTGAAGACAGGCGGAGAACCTGGCGGCCGCTTCACCCTGAAAATCCACATGCCATCGACGATGTTCGCCCCAGGAGGGGGAACCTCGTCGACGTAGGTGCCTGTGGACTTCCAGGATGCCATCTCTGCGTCCATGGCTGTCTGCCACTGAGAGGAGTAGGGACCCGAGATCGCCTCTGCGTAAGTGCGCGGAGTGGGGATGTCTAGTGCATCCGGGTCTCCCTCAGGGGCAAGCAACCAGGCCACGAGATGAGGTACAGCAGCCGCAAGAGAGTCAAAGTCCTCCTGCCTGTCCTCAAGGACGTCCGTGCCAAGAGCACACTCACCCCCGACGGACGGAGGACAGACAGACGCAGACTCTGACTCAGCGACAAGGCTAGCAGCGTAGTCTAGACGACAGGCAGCAGCAAAGTCAACCAACTCAGCGACCAGAGCAGACGCAGCCGAGGACTCAAAGGTGGGGTCAGTGACAACAGTAGCAAGGAGACGCGTGACTGTAGGGTGCTCAGCGCGATACCGGTCAGACTCAGGGTCCGGAACGGCAGGCAAAGAGGACGCAGGAGGAGACGGTAGAGGGACACGCCGAGGAGCAGTAGAGGGACGCAGAGTCATGTAGTGAGTGCCTGGGACAGGAGGAGGACGCTCACGACGGACACGACTACCAGTGCGAGCAGGACGAACAGGCGACGCAGGACGAGACTCAGGCTCACGACGCTCTGTAAGACCTCCTGTGGGACCAGTATAAGGAGAGGGAGCAGGGAGAGGCGAGGCAGGCGGTAACTGTGACTGCGGCTGGACAGGCGGAGGACACTCTACGGAGGGAGGAGGACAAGGAGGAGGAGCCTGCCCAAGAACCTGCTGAAGGAGCGGTACGAAGTACGGTCGCGGCCGCGCAGCGTCTCCAGAAGCAGACGGGACTCCAGCGGCCGGGTCCTCAGCACCAGTAGGAGCTCCAGCGTCCGGGTCCACAGCACCAGCAGCAGCTCCACCGGCCGGGTCCCCAGCTCCAGCAGCAGCTCCACCGTCCGACTCCTCAGCACCAGCAGCAGCTCCACCAGGTGGGTCCGCAGCACCAGCAGCAGCGCCACCCCCAGAGTCGGCAGCTCCAACTCCGCTAGCACCGCCAGCGCCAGAGTCCCCAGCTCCAGCAGCTCCAGTCACAGTGCTCCCAGAACAGCCAGTCCCAGCAGCTCCAGTACCCCCAGTACGAGCACCCCCAGGACGAGCAGCTCCAGCACCCCAAACTCCAGCCGAGCCACTAGGACGGCGAAAGCGGCGGACGTACCAGTCGCGAAGCTGCTGCGGTGTGAGAGACTGCTCAGCACCCCGAACCGGAGCACCCCCAGACGCAGTAACCCGAGGCTCCGTAGGCTCAGTAGCAGCACCCCCAGGCTCAGTACCCGCAGGCTCAGCACCCCCAGTCGCAGCACCCCCAGGCGGCAAACTCTCAGGCACAGTACCCTCAGCTCCAGCACCCGCAGTCCCAGCACTCCCAGGCCCCGCACCCGCAGGCTCAGCACCCCCAGGCTCAGCACCCCCAGGCTCAGCACTCCCAGCAGCACCACCCGCAGCAGCACCTGAGTCACCTGTGACCTCGACAGGCTCAGCGACGGGAGGAGGGTCTACCTGAGAGACACCTGAAGGAGCAGGACCCTGAGGGGGAAGGGGGTCTACCGGAGGGGGACCAGGAGCAAGGAAAAGCGGCGGGGGAGGGAGGGGGGCAGTGCGGTAGGGGAAGAGACGGTAAAAAGGGACCGACTCGTCAAAGGTGACATCCTGAGAGGCGAAGACCCGGCGCGAGGTGGGGTGGTAAAACTGCCAGCCAGGCGCGTCAGGGACAAAGCCAAGGAAGACACAGGGAAGCGTGCGGGAGGAGAGCTTGTCCGCGGACGTATCGCGGACAAGGGCACGAGCACCCCACACCCGGAAGCGCGACGCATCGCCAACCTCCCCCGTCCAACGCAGTGTGGGCGAGGTCTCCGGCAAGGAGACACGGGGCCAGAGGTTGAGCTGATGCGCGGCGTACCGGACAGCAAACGGCCACAGAAAATGGGGAGCCGCCGCGTGGACCAAGGAGGTACGAGCGACCTCCATGACCAGGCCAATGCGGCGCTCAGCAACCCCATTCTGCTGTGGGGAGTCCGGAAGCGTGAAGGTCTGCTCGATGCCCTCCGCCTGACAGAAGGTCCTCAGGAGATCGGAGGAAAACTCACCACCTCTGTCAGAGTGCAGACGCAGGACAGGAAGATCCGTCCGGAAACGGCGGCGGAGCTGGAGACGAACCGTGCGGATCCAAGGGATCAGAACAGCAGGGACCTCACCCTTGGTGCGCAAGGGGAAGACCGTGGTGTAACGCGAGTAGTCGTCGACAACCAGCAAAAAGTACCGCTCACCGCCCTGACCACGAACGCGGGCTGGGCCCCACACGTCCAGGTGGAGGGTCTCCAGAGGAGCCTCTGTCGGGGGGAACGAGGAGGAGTGAGGAGCGGCGCGCTGCCGCCCCTCGACGCAAGGAAGGCAAGGCGGCGCAGGCGAGGCAGGGAGGGGAGGGAGGGACCTGGGAAGACCGGACACAAGGAGGCGACGGTGCATGCCACGAAGGCGTGGCAAGGAGGGGTGACCCAGGCGGTGGTGCCAGAGAAGAGTCTGGTGCGACAGGGAACGACACTCACAGGTGTGGGCCACCAGACCTGACGCAGACACCTGACCGACAGCAGCTACCTGGGGAGACGCAGTGGTCAGTGTGTAGAGACTCGACCCCGGCCGACGGGTGAACGTAGCCAGGTGACGGCCAGTCCTGGAGCACGTGCAGATCGCCACACGCTGTCCGCCAGGGGTAAAGGTGTCAACCCACTGATCCTGGAGGACAGCGTTGCTCACCAGGTTCGTCGAGAACGAGGGGAGGTGGAAACCCGACAACGAGCCAGACGGAACCGCCGGACAAGGGAGGACAGTGGTGGACTGGGCAAGGACTGGGCCCCCAGAGGGGTCAGCCAAGGAGACTGGGACCGGTGCAGGAAGCGGTGTGAGCTCAGTACTGTCACGAAAGAAGCAACGGGAAGCACCTGAGTCAAGGGTGAAGGTGTGACAGGCCTCAGCCGGTGCGGTACCTGAGAGAGGAGTCTGTGTGG